TGTAGTACCTATATATGTAATATCAAAGCAATTGGTTTATAACAAGAAGTCGAAAATATCACTTTTTACCAAAAAAGACAAAAATATTCACCAAAATTAGAAAATTGAAGATATCATCATGAAATAAACAAATCTAAGAGAGGTCTACACCAAGTATCGAAGCATTTAGGCTTATAGTTTTCAAGAAGAAGTCGAAAAAGTAAATCATTGACATGGATGACGACGGACAATCACTCATATGATAAGCTCCGCTCGACAAAGTCGACAGCGGAGCTAACAATGGAGAATTATGATATCGTTAAGAAATGAACAAATTTGATAGAGGTCGTATGCCTAAGGCTAATTGTTGATGGACGGACAATAGACAATCACCTACTGCATATGAACATCTCTGAAAAAAAATTTGAAGAAAAACAAATGATGTCCATTGTCCAAGATACCATATTTTCAAAGAACATGATACATTGTAGCTGCCAGTTGGCCATCTTTGATTTGCTTTCAAAACAAATTGTTATCGACATGTATTATTCACATGCTAAATTTGAACAAAAACTGACAAAGAATGTCCAACATATGTACTTTCAAAAGAAATTCTACCAGCCGACCATCTTCAATAAAATAACTAAACCACTGCATATGCATATGTCCAACATAAAGTGCTTATAGGCACATGCAAGGAATGAATGGATTCGGTTCAGATGATTCTGAAATGTTATTCTGGGCGGACAGAGAAAGACCGAATTACAAGTCCCTGTTTTAAACATTGTCCGGGGATAATAATGCCCAATGTGTGTGATTACTATATGGATTTGCACTTACAATGTGCGATCAAGTCAAGTTCTAAGACAACATACAGTATAACATATACAGTCGAAGGTCCTATTATAGATCACGTACTGTTTTTTAAAGCTACACTATTAGAATTACTAGTAACAATTCATTAATTTTATCACATGCTGCATTGTTTTTCAATGTTAATTAAATAATTCACAACAGAAATTACTGGTAGTGATTAGACAATCAGAATCTATAGTATCTAGATTTTTCCATCCTGGTGCACAATCTCCATTTACACAAACACCAGTGTTCTTATCACATGCTGCATTGTTTTCACAATGACAATTATAGTTACATAATTCACCATAGAAACCAGTGATTTGAAATACATACCTTGTTGACAATCAGAATCTATAGTATCTAGATTTATCCATCCTGGTGCACAATCTCCATTTGGACAAACACCAGTGATCTTATCACATGCTGCATTGCTTTTGCAATGGCAATTATAGTTGCATAATTCACCATAGAAACCATCAGGACAAGAGGAAGGAACTGAAATGAATAATAACAAGTCATTGTCAATGAGACGTCCCCGTTCCGTTCATATTTAAGTGACATATACATTCAAAGCAGATCATGACCGAAATCTCAGACCACTTTCAGTGGTCTGATCCGAAATGCACCTGCATATGTACAACACATTGTACTAAATCTGAACAAAATCCATCCATGCATAACTGAGATCCGGTTCCGGAATTGTGAAAATATGTGATTTTGATGCATTTTCGGCTTTAAAGTGGCCATCATTCAGCTATTTTTAAGCGGATCATGAAACAAATGCACATATCTATTTGTGACATGATGTACCATGTGTGTGTGAAGTTTGAATCCAGACATGTCTCGGATACGGAACCAGAACTGAATTCTTTAAAACAAAATGGTCGCCAGTCGGCCATTTCGAACTTGATCCGACAAAAAAAATGACGTGTATCAAGGTCCTATTATGTTTAATGTATGTACCAAATTTAAACAAAATCCGTCCATGCATAACTGAGATCCGGGTCCGGAATGGTGAAAATGTGCGATTTCAATGCATTTTCGGCCTTAAAGCGGCCGCCATTTGGCTGTCGTTAATGAGATCATGAAACAAATGCACTTACATATTTGTTACATGATGTACCTTGTGTGTGTGAAGTTTGAACTCGATCAATCCAGGCATGTCTCAGATCCAGAACTGAATTTTTAAAATTAAAATGGCCGCCAGTCGGCCATTTCAAACACGATCCCAAAAAAAATGACGTGCATCAAGGTCCTATTATGTTTACTATATGTATTAAATTTGAACAAAATCCGTCCATGCATAACTGAGATCCGGGTCCGGAATGGTGAAAATGTGTGATTTTGATGCATTTTCGGCCTTAAAATGGCCGCTATTCGGCTATCGTTAATCGGATCATGAAAAAAATGCATGTGCATATGTCCCATATAATGTGTGATGTATGAGTGAAGTTTGAACTTAATCGGTCCATGCATGTTTGAGATACAGGTGATCACGGACGCACGTGACGCACGGACACGGCAAAACATAAGTCCCCGTTTTCGAACTATGTCCGAACGGGGACTAATAACAAGTCATTGAAAATCACACAGTCCCAGTTAAATTTTTGAAAGTTCTCTTTGTGTTCGTCATATTAAAGCGGAGGGGTTGTCGTGAGCGTGCTCCTTGAAATTTGAGTCCCAAG